CCCCAAAACCCCAAAACCCCAAAACCCCTATTTGGTTTTATTCTTTTGAAGTGGTCATAATATATTTATTCGGAGGCTTTGGGAAAGATGTTCGACTCCATACTGAAATCAGCTAATGAACTGTAGGTGATAGGGTGGTAGTACTAGAGAGTGTTAATGAGGTTTTGTAGGAAGAATAAGGTACTGAGGAAGACAGAGCTGGAGATTATGCTAGAAGAAGCTACTAATTCTGAGAGTTGGAATGTGCCTAATACAACACTTGAGGAGATCTCTGAGCATACTGAGGACTGGTAAGGGATTTAGAGGATTAGTTTTTAGGAGCAATTATAATTTGGTGATGAAACATTTGTGGGAGACCATAAAGAAGGATTTGAAATATCATGTAAATATCTTCAAAGGATTACACCTAATGGAATTTCTTATCAAAAATGGGAATACCAGGATTGTGCAAGACCTCAAGGATGACATCCTTAGAATCAGGTCCCTTCAAGAGGTCACTTATCATCAAGATGGAATGGATAAATGATCTAGGATAAGAGAAAAGGCCAAAAGCATAGTTGATCTTATCTCTGACCCCGAAAGGTTGGATGAAGAGAGAAAAATTTCAAAGAAAAATAAAGGCAAGTTTTCATCTAAGATAAACTCCGGAGAAGGCAGGATTATTGAAAAGACGACTTACTTTGGGAACTATGAAGATCCTTCTTCTGAATATACTAATAGCAGTAAATATGATCAAAGGAGATCCAAGGATCATGGCTCTTCCAAAAAGAGCAAGAAGAAAAAGAAGAATGCATCTAGCTCCAACGATGATAGCAGTGAAGACGACAGCAGTGGATCAAGCAGTGAAGATGAGAAGGAAAAGAAGAAAAAGAAGAAATCCAAGAAGAAGTCCAAGAAAGAAAAGGACGATGATGATATTTTTGGCTTGATGACGGAAGATTCTTCACAAAATACGAAGCAGAACAATGCAGGAGTTGATATCTTTGGGGAGAATTTTGGAATAGGAAAAAGGGATGAGAATAATGATATCTTTGCAACAAAGTCATCTGGAGTCGGTGCCTTACCTAAACCACCTCAGAAGTCATCCATGGCAATGGGATTTGAAAGTAGTGGGCAGCAAAATTTCGGAATCAATTCTTTTGGGAATATGGGAGCTTCTAGTCAAATTCCTCCTCTACAACCTCAGACCTTTTGAGATCATCAACAGACATCAACAAGTAGCCTTGATGCAGCTTTTGGTCAGATGACTCTAAATCAGCAAACTCAGTTCCAACCTCAATCTACTTCTGGCTTTGGAGCTCCTCAAAATACTTTTGGAGCAAATTCTCAATTTCAAAGTAGTGGAACTCCACAACAGTTTCAACAAACATCAGGATTTGGAGGAGGAAGTACAGGGATACCTCCTCCTAGCAGTGATATTTTTGGTTCATCTTCTACTTCTACAGGAGGATTTGGACACTCTACAGCTCCTTCTGCATCAGCACCCTCTTCTTTTGGATATCAACAAACATCAACACAGAAGGTTAAGGCTGATGACGGGTTTGGTGCATTCCAATCATCTGAAAAGGATGCTTGGTCTATGGGAGAAGGCCTAGGTAAGCACTAACAGTAATTAATCTCACATTTATAGTAAATTTGGGAAATATTAAGAAAAAGGGAAATGAACCTTCAACTCAAAAGAAATTGAACTTATTTTGAGATTCTTCAGCAAGGTAAGCTCTAAAATTATTATTGGTTTAGTAAACCGACTGGGTGGAATCAGCCAACAACAGGAGCATTTGGAGCTTCAGGAAGCATGCAAAATACAGGAGCATTTGGACAATTTTCAACGACAGCATTTGGAGAAGCTCCTCAGAGCATTGGAGGATTTGGAGCTTCCTCATTCAGTAGTACAACACAGCAGAATACTCAAGCCTTTGGAGAATTTCCTCAAAGCACACAGAGCCAGTCAACAGGCTTTGGAGCTGAAGGACAAGGAGGGAACTCATTATTTGACTAAAAATGTTTCATATATTCCAATATTACACTTAATAAAAGGGGTTTTGGGGTTTTGGGGTTTTGGGGTTTTGGGG